GGGGGGGGGAGGGTTTCAAACCTTTCAGGCGATTGTTTTTTTTGTTGTTGTTTTTTTATTGTTGTACCGTGTTTGCAATAAGGTGAGTGGTTTTGGGGGGTAAATCATGACATTGCTTGGTGCAGGGTTAGATGAACGGCGAGGGAGGTAGATGGTACTGACCTGAAAGGAAAACGGGTAGAAAAATCAACAGAGTGATTGTAAATCAGACATTTTGTTGGAGAGGAGGTTGGGGGCGGTGAGAAATTAATTATAAATAAAGTAAAAGTAAAACGATCCCATCTACACTTTTCAGATGAATACGGAGGCGGGCTGCTTCGACACTGCCGGTCTGGTTGAGAGGGATATACCACCGTCACCACCCAAGTATACACATGGAGATACTAAAAGAAATGATTTCCAACATGGGAATCGAACTCGTGGCTTCTGAATGCAACTGCAGTAGCTAACCTGTAAAACGTAGACCCCACGCGATGATAGCGACAACGACTGTATTGAAATAAAACATGGAATGTTGAAAATTTAGAAATTTTATTCTGATTATGTGATTGATAATGTGGCGTTGATAGTCAAATGAGTCAAATGATTTGGCTACGGGACTCTTCATTGTCAGATTGCGGGTTCGGGGAATCGAGGCTCTGCTTGTTCCGACGTTGTTTCCTCAGAAAAAGCGCTTTGCACGAATTTTCCCATTTGGCGCGGCTTTATCGGAAATGGACCTCATAATCGGATGGCCAACCATTTACAAGACCATACAGAGTTGCAAGGGGTATTCAACCTAAAGCAATTTCCACATGGGATTGGCATAGATAACAGCCAGAAGATTAAGAAAGACGTAACTTGTTTTTAATATAGACATAAAATGTTCAAGATGCATCCTCTGGTCGGCCATAAACAGTTATTCACAAACTGAACTAAAACACGGAAAGCGGAGGTTCACGCCCCCAGCAATGGTGTCTGCAATAGCAGTCTGCTTGAAGATCCCCCATTCACTATTGCAATTTCGAATTTCAAATATTTAGAACTCGGGTTGCTTCAGCCCAGCCTGTTTGGGTTAACTCGGGTTGCTTCAGCCCAGCTTGTTTGGGTTAACTCGGGTTGCTTCAGCCCAGCCTGTTTGGGTTAACTCGGGTTGAGTGGGATGCACAATCCTTTCAGAAAGACTGAGCCGAGAAAGACATATTAGTATATTACAGGAAACAAATAATGATTTTCAAAAATATTGAACCTTGCTATATTAGGCGATGACAAAATACAGGGCAAAAAGGGGGAGGAGATGTGTTTGTGCTATAATTTTGTTTAATTGTTTGCTATGCTTTGAGTAATAGGTTTTTAAAATGTATCTCTTAGACTTATTCAGATTATTTAGAAGTGCCCCGCTACCTAAAACAGGTGGTTCAGTATCTTTTTGATATACATAGAAGGCTTCATATCTTTACAATGTAAGCCAGGGTATATTTAAGAATTTTGAAGTATGAGAAAAAAATGTCCCAGCTGTTTAAGTTGGCGTCGTACCAAATACCTTTCGCACAAGACAGGTCTCCTTTGCTCCAAAGTTCATTTTGTTTCCTGACACATCACACATGTGCCTTTGTTCTGTGTCAGTCGGTATACGGGCAAAAGGTCTCCCACATGACACGTCAATTTTTTTGTCTCTTGGAATAACGTATCATTAGGGTAGGATGTTCCAATTTCGCCAACATTTCAATAAATTTGTGACAACCAACCCTCTGTGATCCTTTCTCTAATTCTATTTAAAATAAACCAGAACTTTCTTGCCAAATGAATGGGTAAACCATACGTTGAGAAAACATATCTAAAGTAGTGGCCAAGCAATAAATTCGACGCATCAGGTAACGGGACACAGGCTAGTGTTTGCCAAGTCATAATCTATATATCATGTCCTATTTTGAGTTTAAGTACCAGTTTACAGCACTTGCAACGCAATTAGGTCATACAAGTGCGGAAGATTAGAGGTGTTACAAGAGGGTAACACACACAGAAGAGAATGAGCAGAGATAAGGATGATAAAATGTTTGGTGGGAAAGAGGGAGCAGGTCTGATGTCTGGCCGCTCCACCAAGGGCTGGTATATGTGACACACGGCTTGTTTTGCGCCTTCGTCTACCCCGGATCACCAAGTCGTCCATGATAGTCATAACGACGTCTACTAAACCATTGAGCAATTCGTGTGTCAGAAAGCTGCCATAATTGCTCCGTAAAACGGTAGTTTATTGTGACCTTTGTTAACAAAGACTTCCAAATGAAATTTTAGATTTTTTGAAAACATTATGTTAAATTTATATGATTTCATTTAATTTACACCGAATTGACCTGTTAGAAGCACGTCTTGAGTGTTTTTATTTAATGCACAGGCATTAATTTGTTTAACCCAGGGCCTGGATTTGCCACAATTGGAGGACGTGGCCAGGGGCAGGCAAGCGAGGCGTCGACCTCTCTCCGCCTTACGTACCTGGCCGTATAGGGAGAGAGTAAGTAAGTACGTATGTGTTTCAAATTTAGTACCTGTGTGCTGCAATTTCGTCGTAGTCGTTATGCATATAACCGAGAACGTAAAAAAAAGCCCTTCTATGGATTTCGACACCAAACCCTCTTGCAAGCGATGAAATTAAACCACGCGTATATGTGACCAATTTGGAACAACCATCACGAAATTGGCAAACTTGCCCGATGCTATTGCTAACACTATTTTTGAGACATCATTAAATACATGCGAGGGCTGTCCCACGGAAAACCGGAATTTGGCTGTAATTTGAAAACAATTCAATATTTTCACATTCTGTAAACGCACACTTGTAAAACAATCATTTAGAAATTTCCCGATTGAGCACCATGAGAATCGCACAAACCAAACGAGCACAGCAGTTCTCAAAAGATGGCTACCCCCTTGGAAAATTGGTCAAGGGTAGAAGTGAAGTCTGTTATTCGGTTTCTGACCGCAAAAGGTCTCAAACCTCTAGAAATACACACTGAAATAAAGTCAGTTTATGGGGAGAAAGTAATGGCAAAGCCACAGGTAGATGAGTGATGTAGTAAGTTCAAAGCCGGGCACTCCGATATCGATGACAAAGTTTACCCAGGATCTTGTTTTTCTGCCAAGACTGAGGACAACAAGAGTCGCGTTAACGAACTTTATCAAACAGACAGGCGCCTAAAAATTCGCGAAATTTGCGAGTCGCTAAACATTTCAAAGTCGACTGTCTATAGGATAGAGTTTGATGAGCTGCACTATTGAAAGGTCTCTGCTTGATGGGTTGGGGCTGAAAAAGACCAGCGGGGTCATTTTGCAGCATGGCAGCACAACGCCACACACCGCAAACGTCACGAAAGACTGGTTCCAAAGGTTCGGCTAGGAAGTTCTACTACTCCCCCCTCACAGTCCTGACTTGGCCCTGTCAGATTATCACCTTTTTGAACCAATGAAATGCCATATTTCTGGACAGCGATTCACCGACGACGAAGACCTCGTGGAAGCCGTGAACGATTGGTTGAAATCCCTTGACGAAAAATTCTTCAGGGAGGGTATCTTCTCCCAGATCCAGCGATGGGAAAAATGTGTCCAGCGGGGTGGTGATTACATTGAGAAATAAAGCACATGTTGAGGTATGATGTGTTACAGTTTTATTATAATAGGACAAAGATTTTTGCTTTTACGGACCTTTTCCGGTTTTCCGTGGGACAGCCCTCGTAATTTGTTGACAAGTCCTCTATTCTAATCTAAAGTACAAAGGTTAGACTCTTGGAAAGACTCGCAAGTATCTCTCTGCATTGGAGAGCAAGAAGTGAGATCACTAACTGGTTATTACAAACCTGACAAACTGGACTCTAACGGGGCTGTATCACACGAATGATTCCATCTCCAATTTGGCACCATTAGCTGAAGAGGTCATGAGTGTCTGGTGTCCATGAGTGGTTGGTGCAATATTTAAACCTCGTTAAGAGTAATTGTAATTGTAGACAAGTCTACGACCAACGTTCCTTATTCTTGAAAAAAAAAAGCTTCAAAAGCAATTTCGAAAATTTATACAAATGGAAGGCAAAGACATCATTGCTTTCAAGAGTTAGTACAGTATTTTAAAGACACCTAAATACTGGTTGATTCCGGATTCAGTTGGATAAAAATATGTGTTGGCCAAAAGAGGTTATTCAATTTTTTAGGTAAGGATCCTGGAAACAATTGCATAGATCGCTGGTTTTTTATGGAAGTGGACACCATAAAATAATATGGCAGCTGAAATGGGTGATGTTGATGCAGGCTTTGATGCCCTAGGTCCGCTAGGCAAGTACAGTGTGACGCAGATAGTAGTTCAGTTCATCATTATGTGGACTGTAACCCAACAAACATTCAGTTTTATTTTCACCGGACAGACGTTTAAGTTCAGATGCCCGAGCAACGACAGCCTCTATAATATTTCTGGAAATGCAACTACAAATGTTTCTTTCCCCGCTTTTGGAGATTCGTGCAGTGCAAGTTACGTTAATTCAAGTTGCAACGATGAAGACGTTATCGTGAAGACAAACCAAACAAGCTGTTCTGTCTATGATGTGCAATATGAAGCATCTAAAGAACGTTCATTCGTCATGGAGTTTGATCTCATTTGTGATCGAGAATTCCTGTTCGGCTTGACCCAGACATTGATGAGTGTGGGCAACGTGCTGGGTGCTTTCGTATTCCCCTACCTGACTGACCGGTACGGACGAAAACCCACTGTAATTGTCTGCACTGTAGGCGCCATGGGCAGTGCGTTAGGCTTGGCGTGTTCCCTAAACTACGCTATGTTTGCTTCCTTCAAAGTCTGTGCCGGGATCTTCGTGCAAGGCCTCGGGGGTGCATGTGGACTGGCTATGTTGGAGTACCTCGCAACACGCCACCGGTCTAAAGGTTACGCGTGTGCTGCGAGTTGTAACTGGACATTCGGCATGCTCACTCTGGTGCCTGTTGCCTACCTGCTGAGGAACAACTCCTGGAGGACTATAGAGTTCACTTTTGTAGCTTTCTTTGCTCACATTCTTTTGTCTGTCTTCATTATGGATGAAACACTGAGGTGGCTGGTAGCCAACAACAAATACGAGAAAATAAAACGTGTTGTCAAGAGAGCGTCAAGATGGAATAAACGCAACTTTGTTACGGTGATGAAGGCTCTTTACAAAGGCAAACATGAAGAATCTGACGACAAAACCAATACAAAGCTTGATGTATTCACTATAAACGGACTAGATCTTAACAGGAGGAGAAGTAGTTCAGTTAATGGACGCGTACTTTCCCCCAGTGATGAAAACAGCACGTCTCAGAAAAACGGGCCGGTAGAGATCAAGAAGGAGGAGACATCCTCTGAACGTCTTTCTGTTTGGAGTCTTTTCACTCACCCACGTCTGCGCTACAACACTGTGTACATGTTCTTCACCTGGTTTGTAAATAGCATCTCATACTTAGGTTTGACCCTCATGTCTTCCACATTGAGTGGTGACCTCTATTCCAGCTTCACCATCAACGCTTTGGTGGAGATCCCTCAAGCAGTTTTCCTTTACTTCTATTTCGACCGTCTCGGAAGGCGTCTCTGTTTCTTTCTTTTCTCCGTCATCGCAGGCCTCACTCTCATCGCTACCGCCGCCGTCTACGCACTGGCGCCAGACCAACACATTCTCATCACTGTTCTAAGCGTTGTCGGCAAATTTGGCGTCTCTGGAGCTTTCAACGCGATCTACTTGTACACCCCGGAGCTGTTCCCGACCAACGTTCGGAACACTGCACTGGGCATCGCGTACATCGGCGCTAGGACTGGCGGAATGCTGGCACCTTACACAAAACTGCTGTACAAGAGGATCGTCTACGCCCCGGGCCTCATCTTCGGCCTGGGGAATTTGCTGGTGACCATCGGTGTGTACTTTCTGCCGGAGACGACCAACATCCAGCTGCCACAGAACTTACAGGAGATGGACGTAATGTGGAGCGGAAAACCCAAACCAGTAGAACATGTTGTAGTGAATGACAACGCCGGATTTCAAAACGAGGAAGAGTTGAAAAGCTAAAATATTTTCCAACTTGATGTAAGCTTCTTTAGTTTAAAAGAAACGGACGCAAACCCTTGTTGTATCAAACAAACATGCCTTAAGTTTCTTTGATTTAAAAGATACGAATGCGAACCATTATTATATCAAATATTTGATTATTTTTTTAAAAACGTATATAGGTACGTCAGTGACGTTGAGTACTTTTAGCTGAACGACTCATTCTAAAACTTATCGTTTACTATGTTCTTTGTTGCTGACTCTAGCACGTAACCGTGCTGGCCAGCATGATTGTATCAGTAAGAGCTAAACAGAACCCTAACTTTATACATGTACTTTTTTTGTCAGGATGAAAAGATTTTGCACGCCCTTTATCACTGCCAGCATGCATTTGACTTTGTGTTGTTGTGAGAAGTATGAAATGGCCGGATTTTCATAGAGGGGGGTAGGCAGAAATTATTTAATGTCATACTGAACAAAGGGTAAGAATGGGTGGATAAAGGTCAGACAGAAAAGATTCCAAAAATATTGAGGAGGGAGTAAAAATATGAAGATTGCTAAAAAACAAATTCATGCTGAACAAAGGGTAAGAGGGTGTGAATTAAAGTCAGACAGAAAGGATGCCGAAAGAATTGAGCAGGGAGTAAAAATATAAAGCTTGCTGAAAAGCAAATTCAAAGATCTTATTTGTTTGTTCGATTGCTGATTTCTTTGAGGGAATGGGGATGTATTTTCTTGCTGAGCGCTTTTAGGGGTGCGAGGAGTTGTCAAAGATTGTAGAGAAAATGAAGGGATGGAGAAAGAAG